CATCTCCTTAGATCCGACCTGTGCTACCTGATGCTTGTCGAATGGCCTCAGCCTAGATAGGGTTAGTTCCTTCTCCCAGCGCATGCTGTATATTCTCCATAGTCTGTATGTCCAGCAATCAATAAATTAACACTGGTAAAACTCTAAAAAAAAAAAAGAAAAAAGAAGTTTTTCCTTTGTGTTTGTACACCATGGATTCTGGAAGTGAGCTTTCTAAAGTGGTTGCCACATTTATCCTCCAGATCCTCTTAGATGACACTGATTTGGCTTACATACATCAGACATACGAGCATTTTTCTCATGTTGCCATGATCTTGGGTAAAATGTCCTGTGGGTGTCCAAAGAGCCTTCTTCCTGTCTACTGAAGCATGTAGTAAGACATTACCTTTGACTCTCAGATAATGCCAGGGCACATGAAGCAGTCAGACAGGGCCTCCCTGACCAGCTGAAGGACACAACCTGTGCCCAGGGGCTAAAAGATAATGCCACCGGGGCTGGGAAGTTAGCTCAGTAGAATAAGTGCTTGCCTGGCAAGCACAAGGGCCTGAATTCAATCCCCGGTTCTGCAAAAAAAAAATTAAATTAAAATAAAAGATAATGCCACCATGAAATGTTGGCTTGCCCAATTGTTGAAAAACTTACAAGTGGGCCACTGATCCTGGGGTATCCACCTTCCCCTCAGTGATCCTCCCTGTCTCTTCCCAGAACTCCCCCAAGGTGGGGAATGGAGGAAAACCCACAAAGAAAATCACTCGGGTTTTTTTGTTTGTTTGTTCTTTTGGTACCAGGAATTAAACTGAGGACCTTGCACTTGCCAGGCAGGTGCCTATACCCCTGAGCTATCTCCCTGGTCCCAGCTTAGATTTTATCACCAACGAAGAATAAACAACAATGCTGAGCTGCACTGGAGAAAAGGGGAATATACAGTACCCCTGCTGCAGTGTATGGGGTGCCAGCTCACACTGCTCTGAGGATCTGGCTGAGGAGCTGGACTCCCTCCACTCTCCTAGGAAATGGGCTCCTGATACAGCAGTCTGCCACCACAGCCCCAGGAGGGTGTCAGCGCCAGCTAATGCTGTGTTAGCAGTGTGCCCAAGGTGACCCTGCTCCCACTCTACCTAGCCACTGGCAGGGAGAGAAACAGCGGTGATAGCAGCTGCCCTTGAGGCAGGCGGGGCGCCTGGGACCAAGCCATGTGGCGCTTTTTTTTTTTTTTTTTTTATTCCTGGAAGATTCCAGGAAGACTTATTCCTGGAGAAAGCATAAGCCGCCACGGACTGGATGAGCATCTTGATTCCCTCCAGCCCACAGCCTGTGATCTGGAGCATCCACCTAGGGCAACCCTGAGCTTTGACAACCACTTTCCTACTGTGCCAAAGCTTCCTCATTCAGACTCCACTGGGGGAGCTGCTGAGGCCCAGGCCTTGCTCCCCGGGAAAGTCTCTCCATCTTCCTTTCGGTGCCTTGGCCATGTTTCTGTGCCAATAGTGTCTTAATGCTTGTCCCATCTATTTTCAGCTGGCCTTGGAACTCACATAGGAGTTGTTGGGAGAGGCGCAGGATTAGCATTGTTCCTCAAAGTGGTGGGTCTTGATGTTTTGTGTATTAGATATAGAGATCCCTCCCCTTATTTTGTGTTTTCCATCCCTCTCACTCCCTCAACAGGACTAAAATAAAACATGCTTCTGTTTTTTTTGTTTTGTTTTGTTTTTTTGTTTTATTTATTTATTTATTTGTGTGTGTGTGTGTGTGTGTGTGTG